GTAGTGTTGATCCACTTTAAGGAATGTCACGACAGGTTTAATGCAGAGCAACGAGTTTCTTCCAGGGAAAGGTGTCGCTGTCAGATCTTCTGCAGGACACCAGTAGCACCAAAGAGTCCACAATGAACTTTAAGGCATCCAGTATCAGCAGAGAGGTTAAACTTCATCTCATCTACATCATCTCCATAACCTTTCTCTAGATACTTATTTTAAATGTGTCCATAGCAGAGCAAAAATTGGTACTAGAAAGACATCAATAAGCAGGTAGAGAAGAGGAGACAACACAAAGAAATGGTGAAAAGTTGAAACCTCACTGATGATTAAAAAGTTAGTTACTTCAGTCCAAGAAGAACATTTGTACTTTATTGCATCACTTATACTTTTAATGCATCCTCATACTTCTTTTTGGTAAAAACAACAACAACAACCTCAACAGCCAAATAGTTAAACTATTTGAGCGAGATTGCATGCAAAGTGTTCACAGCTCTTATTTGCCACACAATGAGACCACGCAGCACTTTGTGTGGTGCCCCAAACTACCACCTGGGTACAGCAAGAATGACCACAAGCCACTACAATGCCAGAATTTTACCACAAGAGCAGGTAAACAATGCACTGTTTATTAGCATTGTTCTGTGCAAACAAAAGCCTAGTGTGCTCTGAAAGCCTCATGATCACTCTGAACTAAAAGAATTCAAAGAGGGCTGAAAAATATCTGCTCAGATAAGAAGCCAAAACTGAAGTAAAATCTTGAATTGACGAATTTGTTAAAATATTGAAACAAACAAATCCATGAAGATGTGCTAAGACTATTTTTCTCCTGTAGTTTTCTTTTTTTAAACACAAATATTTTGGCCTCCTTTTCCAGGCAGGTCTTTAGTGTCAGAGCAGATGAAACGCAGCCCTCTGTCTGTGATTATTAACAGTCGGAGCTGCTCAGACTCCAAACAAGATGTGTTTGAGGTCATAACGGGAGTCTGGGTGCTGTGCCAGCATGACATTACAGCCTGGATCCTCTTGAATGTCGCCTTTGTTTCCTCCCCCAGATCTGTGTTAGAGGCTTCAGCAGGATCCCTTTCCTCCGCCTGTGAAATAAAGCCCAGGACCCTTCCACCCTCCCCCAGACACGTCTAAGTTTTGTAGTCCTTCAGAAATTTGGACTGTTTCAGCAGCGAACTCTCGCAAGGAAAACAATAAATTAAGACAACACAAACAGAGACATTTTGAACAATTTACAAAAACAAAAGCAAGCTTTCAGTTTGCAGCTGCTGCCAAATAAACAGGTGCCTGCAACAGTGTTGCGCTCCTCATTGCATACCGCAATCACACCTTGTCCTGGCAGAAAAAAGTCAATGCATATTGAGCATATTGAACTTGTTCATCTTAACTGGTGAGTCAACAAATTGTGTTCCAAATCCTCAAAGAGGTTTAAAGTTATTGCAAAACTTTTGGTCTCAATATCTGAACTTAAGATCTCTTAATTCTTTGAAAGCATAAGAAAAGCAAACAGCCAGATGAGTATTACTAAAAA